TCCAACTAAAATCATTCCTTGGTTCTGTGATATAAATTCCATTGTGAATGCAGAGAGATTTCCTTCTGTCTTTTGCATAAAGCTTACACAAAACCCCCCAAGCAGGGGAATAAGCCTCACCTAAGGAATGTGGCATGGCAGACCTGTGTTTTGCTTTAATTAGCATCCTGATGCGATACCGGCTTGGCATGCAGATCTCTGTTTTGTAACACACCGAGCCCTCGCTGGACTCCGTAAGGAACCTGGCAAACACAACACTTCCTTCCATTGTCTCTTGTTTTTCTTGGAGGCTGAATATTTTCATTGAAATGTCACTTACATACACAGCTCATGCTCGGCTGCTCTCGGAGTGCACTCAGGCATTGGGCTTTCAAAAAACAAAGTGAATTCAGCACTTAATCACAGCTTAGCACTCTGCTTACTTATTAGCAAAACATACAGTTGAAAGGCAAAATCACAAGCAGAGTGGTTCCGGTAATAAAGACTTGTGCAGATTTTACCACTGGTGAGTACCTGACTGTTTGAGCTGCTTCCCAAGGCATTGCAGGGTTATAAGGTGCTTGTGGTCTGGCAGGGTAGAGCTGATAAACAGCAGGAATGGGACTCAGGGATTCTGAGCCTGCAAACTTGTGGGCAGAGCTTTCCTCAGTGTGTGACTTGCACCCGGCAGGAAGGAGCCTCCATCACCTCAGCTTTTCTGTGGCAGAAGTCATCTGAATAATTCATCAGAGTTAAGAGACCAAGCTGGGAAAACTTCAGGGTTGGGGGTTTTAGCTCAGCTTCAGCTGGGTTTTTTTGCAAAGGTAAGGAGAAGTACTTCAGGGTTGGGTCAAACAGGATGTTCACCCTAAAAACTTGTCCTCGGCAGAGATGCCAAAGCCTCAAAAGACATCACACAGGGAAAATACTCTGGTTTCTTTGGAGAATCAGAAACAGCAGCTGACAGGATCTAGGCAAAGCAGTCCTGCCAAGGGGATCAGATCACAGGTGCCCCAAAGAGGTGGAACACTATACCAGACAGGCATCAGGGTTTTCACTTTCTTGAACTAGATCCTAGTATTGATAGGAATTCCTCTGGATTTGTCAATATTCTTGACTCTGCAAAAAATTGCAATGAAACTCAGAGGTGGGTCTTCAGCTTTGACCATTACTTACCTACTGCATGCTACCCTGGGCTGCTCCATATGTTTTGGAGGTGCCTTTTAGACCCATTTTTAGCTTGTTTTCCAAAGGCAGTGAGGCAGTGACTCTCCATCCCAACTTGCCAACCCTTAGTAATTTCTGACTCATTGGGTGAACTTCAACCAACTTTGACAGAAGAGCAGAGGTAGCAAAAATATTAAGTTCTTACCTATTTTAAGGAAATATGGATGAATAAAGGAGAAAAAGGGAATTACTGTCTTAATAGATTTTTAATATGGTCCCATATTCTTCTGGAGAAGCAACAGCCCCAGATCCTGTGGCTTTGACTAGTACAGGTTACACAAAAATCTCAGGGAAACCAAACTCTGCTGCTTCACACTTCAATTCAGGTGAACAATTGAGATGAAATCAGTCAAGCCTCAGAAATTTTCTCTGATCTATGCAGGCAGCACAGTCAGAAACAGCATTTGCAAATGGACCCACAAAGCTCAGGTGGAACAGACATTTAGATTGGATTATTAGGAAAAAATTCTTCACTGAAAGGCTTGTCAAGCACAGGAACAGACTGCACAGGGAAGTGGTGGAGTCACCATCTCTGGAGGTACTTAGAAGATGTGTAGATGTGGCACCTGGGGATATGGTGGGATTGGCAGTGACAGGTTAATGGTTGGACTCAATGATCTTTGAGGCCTTTTCCAACCTAAATGATTCTAAGATTTCATGTGTTTACATAAATCCATTTTTATGCATGATTTTCCAGCATGCAGAAAATGAATCATCAATACCCAAAGAGGATGATTATGCTAATGAAACATTAGCATCACCAACCACAACAGATTATCAAGATCTTTCCCTATACTGACAGGTGAAATAAGGCAGATCACTTGTAAGATACAGTAAGGTAATTCTTACCAAATGGCACCAACAGCAATCAAAAATCCTATAACTGCACATTAACAGAGCTCACTATTACACCAAAATGGTTCAATGAAACTATTTCTGAAAGCAATTTATTTCCCACTGTCTTCTACAATATCCTCCGGGGAAATCTCAAGCAGCATCCAGAAGGAACAAAACTTTCAGAGTTTTATTTTAGTTTTTGTCTTTGTTGCCTGTGTAGGTCTTAACAGTGCTATAGGAAATCCAAGCTTGGGAGGAGCAGATTTTTTCTTGGTTGGAAAGCACATCGTCCTCATGGAAATATGACAAATGTTCTACAGTATTTTTCTATAGTGCCTGCAAAAGTTTGGCAGAGTCAAACTTTGTAATGACAGGAGAGGCAGTGATTATCTGCATTTATATTTGGCTTTGCAGCTGCAGCTGCACCAGTGACCACCTCACACCACAGCTGAGCTACACTGCTGGGAGTGAAAGACAGCAAGGAGTTGTCCACAACCTTGCCAAACTTAGGAACACAAGGATATGTTGGGATTGCATTTTGGGAAAATAAATAAAGAAAAAATAGCCCAGCTCTTTATAAGGAACAGTATAAGCCCTGCAGACAGCACATGAAATTCTGAGTTGTGGAAGCCAGCAATCCTCAACCTGGACTTTAGGTCTACCTTGCACTAAGAGGATTGTGTCAGTTTGAACAGTTCTGTGATGGTTTGTACACAGTATGTTTGAAAACAAGGTGGTGAAACCAAAGCCAGAGATCTTATTTCCCCACGGACATACTGGGAAACACACAGGGCAGATTCACCAACAACTATGTAATCCTGGGAAGTGTTCCCAGGGGGGACTGGCAGGAACAAATTAAGTGTCAAGTAGACATGGACAGCTGCCTCTTAACCTCCCTTCTTTCCAACTCCAGCACAGACACTGAGACCTTTACTTGCCCATATCTTTGACAGAATAAATGAGGTGTGATATTTATCCTTCAAGCTGGTCTGCTAACAAGCATGGCTTTCATGTAAAAGGAGATGTACTCAAGGACAAACATAAACAGGGAGGCTTGGTCTACCTTCAGAAACCTTCTCCCACAGAGGTGCTGCGAGATGCTCAGGGGCTGTAATGTGAATTTTCCACAACATAGCAAGGGGTGCTCTAAAGTTTGATAATGAAAACGCTGTCCACACCACAAAATAATCCTTGGGAAGTATTAGCTAGAGACCACTTAGCAAGCAATGACCCAGGGAAAAGCACACATTGATTTGAGATTTGTTGTGCTCATGATACTGATCTTTGAGTGGCCCTGATTTTACCCCTTCTCTTTTTTTTGCAGTCTAAATGTGGCTTTCTCAAAGCTGCTTGATCAGAACCCCTTCTGCTTCACAGAACCCAAGTTTTAAAGGCATGCAAAATTAGGAGAAATTGTTTAGGAGAAATACACAACAATGAGAAGCTGAAAAATCCACAGGGAATCTAATAATAATCAGGGCAGAAATATAAACAAAAAGATAAGATACTTCAGGCTGTGCAATGGTTCACAGCCATTGTAGCAACAAGTTGGTGTTACCTTGGAAACAAGAGATTATCCATACATGCCTCCTCCCAAACAGGAATCCGTGAAAGGAGGCAAGCAAAATGGATTTTGAGCCTCCTGGACTTTGCAGTGTTGCCACCCAACTCTTGATACCAATTGATCCCAAGCCTAAATATTGATGGAAACTCAGAAGCAGTGCAGAGGTTGCACCATCCTTCATGTAACATCCAAAGAGATGAGGGTGAGCACCTGGTCTGGAGTAACCTGAGTATTCTGAGTACTCAGGGTGAGTACCTGAGTAACCTGAAGGGTTCTTGTCCTCTCCACCTTAAGATAACACAGCACTTTCACAAAAAAGTGCAGAAAGATGATTCCCTACATTCAGTTTAGTGCTCTTGATCTATCTTGTAACACAAGACGCAGCTCTTTGTTTGGGCTGGGAGCTGCCACCCCAAACAGGCTCTAGCTGCTGGCTTCAGCTGGGCATCTCACCCCACTGGGCAGCAGTGAACCTGTGTCCCTCTGGAACAGTTAAATGCTTGGCCTTTGGAAAATTAACTGGCTGGGTTTACAAGCACAGCTATAACAAAAAGGAGAATTCTCTTGTAAGTGTTGAATAGTGAGCAAGTAAAAATTTATACCAAGAAATAATCAGTGTCATCTCTCATTAGAGAACTACATTCCAGATAACCCAAATATCTGGATGCAAGGATTTTATAAAAGTCATGGTTACACTATATTAAACAAGCTAAAAATAAGTAGGAATAATATCTATTTATTTTTCTAAAGAGATTAAACAAAACTAAGGATTTGTGAATCAACTTATCACAAAATTGGTACTTCCCACAATCCAGCTGGCTTGTTGGAATTTGTACAACACCAATGTTGCTGTGCAAGTCCTTTTGCAGCACTCTGAACTGAAATGTAGGGCTACAAAAACACACTAAGAATTTACAGGACATTATTCTCCCCACAATGCCAGCACAACAACTTCAGAGGACATCAGCATGCCTGGGCCTTACCAACAGACAAGGGACCAGCATTGTCCCCAAGGGCTTCCCCTGAGGTATTTAACCCCAGAGCTGCCTCTGTCAGATGCTCCAGGCTTCCCTATGGCACATCTGGCTCTTCTCAGCTGTAATTCATTCCCCTGCCCTGTATGTTCTGCTCTTTTTATTGATGCAATCTCACAAAACCACTCTGGTTTGATTTGGGTGAGACTAGTCACAAAATAATTTAATTCCCAGTTTTACAACAACACAGCACATCACAACTAGAGATCTGGTTTTGACCACCCTCCAGGGATTTTGCAGTCTGTAGCACATGAGAAGAATATCTCTTACATATCCCATTTTTTTTGGTTAAAGAACAAAATCAGAGCAAGAAGAGTTGGCAACTTTGATATAAAGACTTCATTAGGTTCAGTACTTACAACTGCATGACCAAATACAAATGGTTCGGACTCTCATAGATGTCTTCCAGAGCAACTATATTTTCATGCTTGATCCTGAAAAAAATACAAGATAAGATAGGGTGAAATAGTGATTTTCATTTGTTTTCACATGACTGTAAAACATAGAGCACTTTTTAGTACTATAATACTTGTCAGTGTTTTATTCAATATCAAAAACTTTTTGCAAGGATGTATAGTGATAGAATGCTAAAAACTGAAAGAGGGTAGATTTGGATTAGATACTAGGAAAAAGTTCTTTACTGTGAGGGTGGTGAGGCAGTGGCACAAGTTACCCGAGGAAGTTGCAGATGCCTCATCCCTGGAAGTGTTCAAAGCCAGGCTGGACAGGGCTTTGAGCAACCTAGTCTAGTGGAAGGTGTCCCTACCCAAGGCAGAGAGATAGGAAGCAGATGATCCTTGTAGTTTTAGGGTCCTTTCAACAAAAGTAAACAGTCCAAAGTTCTTCACAGCCCAGAATACAGTTATTATTCAGAAAAAAATTCTTTCAATCATCTCTGAAGCCAAAATGTGTAATAGTTAAGTATCTGAGGCATTAGAGGTACACAGTTCCTATATGAATGAAGATGGTTGGTTGGAGGCTGAATTCTCAGGAGAGCTTTGCTGCAGGGTGCAAGGCAGTGAGAGAGGCAGGGTGCAGGCTGGCAGGGAGAAAGCAGGGATCTGACCCTCTGAAGAAGCTGGCACAGGGAATCAGCAGCCATATGACAGCCCCACACTCCCCTTCCCACCAAATTCCTGCTGCTCTGATGTTAAGCCTGGTCTTGATGCCCGAATTTCCCTGCAGCATCATAAAGCACTGTATACACCAGCTCCAAGAGTCCTCATGGCTTTTTTACATCCCCACCATTCCCACCAAGCTGCTTGCCAAAACACTAGCTCTAAAGAGAAATACCATCTCTACAAGCACACATCTAATTAGCTACTTCAGCAAGGCCTCTATGGGTTTGTTCCTTAAATGTTTACAAATAATTTGCAAAGGATATATTTAACTTGTGCAGATCCTGCAGAGACTACCCCAGTGCAAGCCCGGGGCAGAACATTAATTACACCAGTTCCAAACAATATTTTAAGAGCAAGAGAAAGATGGAAAATTCTAAGAAGAGGCCACTCATTAAGCAACAGATGGGTATGTTCAGAAGGAAAGTAAACATGCATTGTCAGCAAATGCAAAACTCTACATGTTTTTAGGTTCAAGTAGCTTAATTAAGATGTTTAATCATGTGTCAGGACCTTAACCTCTATAGTCACAAGTGTCCTAACACCTGTGTGATGACGTGGGGAGCAGAAGGTCCATTGTGCCCAGCAGGATCTTTCCCACAAACATGCAGACTAATTCAATTTCCTCCGAATTCACTGGAAATATTATGACTGACCTGAATTTATGCCCATAATCAGTCATCAAAAGCTGTGTTCATGCAAGGACTTTCACACACAGGAACTTTAATGTCAACAATAAGCAAACTCAAATGTAATACACTGCAGGATGTTAGAGCAACCAACACATGACTTGGCTCTTCACTCTACCTAAATGGCTGGAAAATCCCATGGTACTTTAGCAAAATTTCCAGGTAGATTGTATCACAGATTAAATTCTTAGTATTTGCAACAGGAAACCAATAGACCATGCACTTGGCTTACTCAGCAAATGTTTGGAAGCATTAATTTTGTTGTGCAGGTCTAATGCCTGGTTCCTTTAAGGGTTAGTTAGGACAAGGGCAGGTTTGCCTTGTTTAGTTTAGTTGAAGGTGTGTTAGAAAAGACATTGCAAGCAATTAGTGATTTTAAATGAAAACTATTATATTTATTTATCCATTTTCCTTCATGCACCACACACATTGACATGATCCTTTGTGCTCCTCCTGCCATCATGATGATGTTATTTAACACAATCAATCTGCTGTAGTGTTTGAAGCCTTCAGTTTAGTCTGAGGTATGGTTTTCACCATGTACACACTACTGCTTTGCATTTCTAATTTTGGAAGACCTCAAGAGGTTCCCCAGAGCAGCCTCACCATCACACACCTGGTCACCCAAGAGCTCTCAGAAATGCAAGGCTGAGCACTGGGGCTGCTGCAAGAGCCTCTCTCCTCCCTGATTTGCAAACCAAAGGGGTTCCACGCTCTGTGCTCTGGAGGGAGGGCAGACAAACCTGCTCAGTTCTACAGAGAAGGGAGAGAAAAGGTTTAGTCCCACCCCTGCGGGGTCCTCTGTATTAAGCCCATCTGTCCCCCTCTGAAAGCAGAGTCAGGATGTGAGCATGTGGGAAGACAGCCAGTATGAAGTGTAATCTGGGAGAAGACAGAAGAAGAAGAAGCTGAATCACCCCCAAAGGACACAAAGAGCATCCTTCATAGGGATGATGGCATTTTGGAGCACGATGTCCCTTTGGGAGGTGGTGTCTGTACATACCAGCCACCCCAATTGCTGGTGGTTGCTGCATTCCAGGGATGATGAGAGGGGAGGAGGCATTTTTCTCCCCTTTGACTCAGTGTCCCCAAGACCAGCAAGACCTCAGTCGTGGTGTTATGCAGTGTTTACTATCCCTGGGGAAGTGTACATCACACACCTGCAAATAAAGCAGCTTGTCCTGCACAGCTTTTCTCTACTCAGAAGAACTCTCAAATGACAAGCTACTAAAAGGAAAATGGAATTCAAAGTTAAAAAATCAACAACATGGAGATTACTTGGGGTGAAGCCCACAGTTTAGACAAATTTGGTGGTTGTGTTGCTGGAGCTGGACCAGAGCAGCCATGGGGCTCCCAGCAGAGATCACTGCTGCCAGCAGCAGCTCCTCTGCCACTCACTCCAGAAATTCACACAGAAATCCATGTGCTCCTTTTTTCCTTTTAAAGCATGAGCATCACTTACAACCCTGATACACAATAATTAATCCTTCAAGGATGAGCAATATTCATTTCAATAACACCCTGGGGCTTGGGCAAGCAGGTGTGGCATCATCACAATGTTTCATTGGTACCCAAAAGCCCAGTGGGGATGGAGCAAATTTGTCCCACTCCTGTGCAAGCAGATCAGCAGTGCCAGACGTGAGGAACTGCAGACACTCACTCTGGTCTGCAGAGATGCTTGGGTACATTGAGAGCCAAGGAAAGCACCGTGAAGTGGCAGCTACTTGCTGGTCACAGATCAGGAGGGATTTAGGGATGGGTTAATTAACTCCACTTTCATCCCCTTCTAGGAGCACCAAGCAGGTCTCAAAGGTTCAGAGGATTCATTCTGCTAAGCCTCCAAATGCCTGCACGCAGTCCTGCAGAAATACTCACTGGATTGTCTGATCTACTCAAGACCTGACAGGATTTATTATTTTAAAAGGGGCAGTTCTCATTTTACAAAAGGGGAACCATTGTGCAGAAAAACTACAAGTATTTCTGTAATCACAAGTGAGAATGGTCGAGATTCCTCAATCCCAGAGTAATATCTTAATCAAGGGGCCATATTATTTTAATTCCTTCTCCTTTCTACCTCAGTGAGAAAATCTTAACCCCACTTATCTGCAGACCTTTTCTTCCTTTTGTCTTCCCTCTCCAGACTCCTCCCTTCCCAACATGTGGCTCCCACCCTGCAATGGATAAATCTGCCTGATTAACTCTGCACAAAGCAGCTCATTGATGCTTTTAGGGTATGTGATAGTGCAATATTAGGGCTGTAGCACAGGGGACATGGACATGGGCTGGGGTGACAATGTTGCTCTTAAAATGAACATCAAAGCACGGGCTTGCTTAAAGCAAATTAGATCCCATTATGCAAATTGGCATGAACTAAGGAAAATTGCCCTTGCCACTTTTTCAACCTCCTATTCATCACATTTGCTATTTTTCCTGATGCTTCCCCCCCCCGCCCCCATCCTGGCAAACCCCGTGTCCTGCTTGCATCTCCCACATCCAGATGTGTCCCCAAAATCCCTCCATTTGTGGCACAAAGGGCAGGTGCCTCCTCCAGCCTCCACTACTTTGTTCAATTTCAGGAATATTCTGAGGCCTTTATACAGAAAGAAGTTATCTAGAATTAAAATACAAATAAAGAGAGGCTAATTATTTTTTAGATTCAGGACTTTTCACCCTACAATTCTCATGTGATGCTGCAATCCATGGGAAAAAGAAGAGGAAGATAAATCTAGGAGTGAGAATGAAGGGAATTTAAGTATACAAAAAAAAAAAAAACAACAAAAAACAACAAAACATAAAGAGGGATTAAACCTGGTAAGAAACTTTGAAAATTTTGTATAAAAAAGAAACTATGAAACTATGAAAAGAAAGGATGGATTTCCCCTGTTCAGAGCAGCTCTGGGTTGGATGCTGTGCCTCAGGCAGACACAAACCTTTGGGCTCAATGCAACCATGCAAAATTATCAAGCTTCCCCTGCAGACTTTCAGCCTATGATTCTGCCATGTGCTTTTACACAGGGGTCGATACAAATGAATGAAGGCAATGTTGTGATCGAGCAATATTTTAACACATAGCCAGCCAAGATTTAAAGCAGCAAATTGAACTGGGTAACCAAGGACTTCAAGTGAGTTTTCTGGGCATGGCAGCTGTGCAAACAAGGGCTGACAAAAGAGTGCTTGATCTGCAGCAGAGCCCAAACACACACTGGCCTCCTTTGCTTCCTGTGGAGGCATTGCATGAGAGCATTGATAGGGGAATTGTCATTTATCTCCAACTGCTGCTGCTAAAAACAGAAACTCCCTCCTCCAAAGGGGCTGAAACACATCCTTGAGACAAGACCTGACATGACCAGGAGTGACATTTAGCTCTGCTAACCAGTATCCATCACACCAAATGGGCTGTGCTGCAGCACTGGAGTGGTGATGGCATGGCATGGCATGGCACCCCAGTGATGCTAAAATCCTCCCTTGCCACTGACTGGCACAGAGACACCATGTTCTACTCGCTTCCACTAGAAGTGCACAAGCCCCCATAGGTCCAGATCTAGCTCTAATGGACAGTACTCACTTCAGTGTTTGCCAAAGAAGTATCTAAAAATCAATATATTCCATGGGCTTTGGCAGGAGATT